TCTGGGGTTTTGGGGTGGATTTTGGGGTGGATTCTGGGGTTTTTGGGTGGATTCTGGGGTTTTTGGGGTGACTCACAGAGGCGTAGACGACGCCGGCCCCGTTCATGGCCACGTAACGCCCGGCGCGGGTGCCCTGGATGGCCACGACGCGGAGCCCGACCGGGATCAGGTTAAACAGCGCTGGGGGAAATCCCAGTATCAACCAGTATCAACCAGTCCAGACCAGTCCGGACCAGGCTGGACCGGCTTGGACCAGTATAAACCGGTACAGACCGGTCTGAACTCGTAGGGACCGGTATAAACCAGTACAGACCAGTCTAAACCAGTACGGACCAGTATAAACCAGTATAGACTGGTCTGAACCAGTACGAACCAGTATAAACCAGTACAGACCAGTCTAAACCAGTACGGACCAGTAACCCCCAAAACCCTCCCCAAACTCTGCCTTGTGCCCCCTCTGACCCCGCCCACTTTTCCCCAGGCCCCGCCCACTCATTAACATTAACAGCTCATTAACAGATCCCGCCTCCTTCCTCAGACTCCACCCACTCATTAACATTAACTTATAATTAACATATCCTGCATCCCTTTCTAGGCCCCGCCCACTCATTAACATTAACAGCTCATTAACAAATCCCATCTGCCTTCCCAGGCCACACCCACTCATTAACATTAACATTCCCCGCCTCCCTTCCCAGGCCCCACCCACTCATTAACATTAACAGACCCCACCTCCCTTCCCAGGCCACACCCACTCATTAACATTAACAGCCTCGCCCCCACAGGCCCCGCCCACTCATTAGCATTAACAGCATCGCCCCCACAGGCCACACCCACTCATTAACATTAACAGCCTCGCCCCCACAGGCCCTGCCCACTCATTAGCATTAACGGCCCCGCCCACTCACTGCCAGGCCCCGCCCACTCATTAGCATAAGCGGCCCCGCCCACTCACTGCCAGGCCCCGCCTCCTCCCAGGTTCCGTCCAGCCGCCCGTCCGGGCCCATGTGCAGGAAGTGGCCGTGGCCACCCCGGAGCCGCGCGATGGCCCCGCGGAGCTGCGGTTCTGTCACACCCAAAATCGCCCAAAATCACCCCAAAAACAGCCCCAAAATTACCCCAAAAACTCCTGAAAAACACACCCACAATCACCCCAAAAACAGCCCCAAAATCGCCCAAAATCACCCCAAAAACAGCCCCAAAATTACCCCAAAAACTCCTGAAAAACACACCCACAATCACCCCAAAAACA